CAAATTCTCCACAAATGTGGCTTGTATGGGAGGGTTGCAAGAAAAAGGCCACTCCACAAGAAAGGCCACATGCAGTCACGACTGAGCTTTGCCAAAACAAACCTTGAAGATTCTGAGGCAGATGAGACTAAAGTTGAAGTATTTGGCCTCAACACCAAATGATATGTCTGGCAGAAATCCAATACAGCTCACCATCCAAATAACACCATTCCTACAGTAAAGCATGGAGGTGGTAATATCTTGTTATGGGGGTGTTTCTCTGCAGCAGGGACTGGAGCAGTTGTCAGGATAGAAGGAAAAGTGGATGTGGCAAAATACTGTCAAATTCCTGAGGAAAATCTGCTGCTCTCTGCCAGAAAGTTGTCAATGGGAAGAAGGTTTACCTTCCAACATGACAATGACCCAAAGCACACAGCAAACCTGAGCACACAGTGGTTGAAGGAGAAAAAGGTGAATGTCCTGCATGGCCCAGTCAGAGCCCAGACTTAAACCCCATTGAAAATCTGTGGAATGACTTGAAGAGTGCAGTCCACAAACAGTCACCATCAAATTGAACTGAACTTGAGCAGTTCTGCAAAGAAGAGCGGGCAAATATTGCAAAGTCTAGATGTGCAAAGTTAGTAGAGAAAGAGACATATCCCAACAGACTGAAGGTTGTAATTAAAGCAAAAGGTGGTTCAACAAAATACTGACACATCCTTTTTCCAACTCAGTGATTCTGGGTGGTTATTTTTGTATTTTTTCCTGACATGTTGGTGTTATATCTTTCACTTGAATGTTATAAGTTTACGGAGTAAATACAGCTGGAAAAAACAAAAACTATGTCCGTCTTTATTTCAGGCTGCAAAGCAACAAAATGTGATTATTTTAAAAGGGTGTGATTCTTTTCTATACCCACTGTATATGTAATAATATATATGTAAGTCTCATCAAGTTTGTTCATTTTGACTTTGCTTCAAAAATATAGATAACACTGAAGTAGTAAAAACATGTTTTTGTTAGTAATACATTTTGATTGGGAATTATTTAATAACAGCAGTCACCTTCACTTTAGACCGTTAGTCAACAAATCCTTGGTAAACACTAGATAAGTATAAATGATGGGGGCTGACACGAATGTTCACCTTTCACTTAACCACACTGAATGGACCCTGAAATGCTCAATCGCAGATTATTTCAAGCTGATTTTAATTCACATGTTTGAAGGGGTGAGTTAACTCCGTAATGAATTCACATCCACTTGGCCATTCAGGCTGATTTTCAAACTGGTTGAGAATCAGATGATAATTTTCATAGAAATTGTTTGAGGAGCCAAAGCTTAAAACGATTTTTGCAAATAATGTATATGCATTGCACAAATAAATGAAACTGATTGGCCTAAAACAGCAGAGTGGTGTTCGTATCATTTTGCAGGATCTCAGACCGTGGCGGTGGCATTCCTCACAGCATTCTGGACCAGGTGATGGATTACCACTTCAGCACAGCTGAACAGAGCGCACAGGATCCCCGCATGAGCAACCTTTTCAACAACATAACCAACAGCGGCCCCCAGTCCGGACCCATGCATGGGTAAGAAGAGCTAGACCTGTAGAAAAATGTGCACAAGCTCAAATTAAAAGATGCTTCAAATGATTAGTGCAAAGGTTGGGTTTTTATGTAAATTATTGAGGGACTGCTTGGGATCATGTCTCTTTTTTTCAATTATAACATGCTTTTCACCTCTTCAGAAGTAAATATTTATGTCTTGTCCACATGCAGCAGCTGAAGATTCTGTGCATTCTTGCAAGATCAGTATAGTAGCTAAAGTGGTCTGCTCTACATGATCCAGATTTAACCAGTTTGATCTGGATCTGTAAGTCTAAAGTGCCAAGCCGGCACTCCTCACCATGAGCGGTCTCGATTCACAATTACAGAAGACCAGATGGCAACTGGCAGTACTTTTCTAATGAAAATAATTTGTTTTCCTGCTTGGAGTTGTTTATTAAGTTATTTGGCATAGTTGAAGGTTTATTTGAGGATTTTGATACATTAGGATGCGCTGTTGTGACATGTAATGGGATTGAAGAGCATCTCAGTGATGCCACTTGTTTTCTCCTCCAGGTTTGGCTTTGGTCTGCCTACGTCCCGAGCGTACGCTGAATACTTGGGAGGTTCCTTGGCCATCCAGTCGATGCAGGGCATCGGCACAGACGTCTACCTGCGTCTTCGGCACATTGATGGCAAAGGAGAGAGCTTCAGAGTTTGATGTCGTGGTCTATTTGTAGAGCTTGTGGGTCAGTCACCATGTTGAAGATTTTAAGGCTCGAAGAGGAACCAAAGCCAGGATGTTAAACAGTTGTCCTTTCACTCATATTGCCTGTCACTGCATCAGTATCACTGCGTTTTCTGCAGATTATGGGTGTCATGCTTGGCATTCGCACTGCGTTGTGTTTGTGTAGTGCACTGTGATTTCTGTCAAACTCTCAGCCTTAAGATTGCAAAGTGATTTCATGATTAAAATCCAGCGTGTTACTGTCCATCGTCACCAGTGGGACGAGTCCTTACACTCCAGACGCTTGCAGAAGACACTCTCCAGACAGCCATATCCTGCTTTTCTTCAGAAATGTGAGTGAATTGTTTGAACTCTTTGGAGATGCAGTGTTCACGCCAATGGTGAATGCAGAAATCTTCTATGAACTCTGAATAGAGGTCGACTGCCTTACGAAAAAGACTCATTCTGAAAATGTTGTCAGTGTCCAGATGTCAGTAGAAATCACAGTTTTGACATTTCACATTAACCATATGAGTTTAAGAGTTTGTTGTAGATTTCATGCTTGAAATGGTTTGCTAAAAAAGGCTCTTGGGGTTATAGCACAGCGCTAAAATATAAATGATAGTTTTGTTTTGTTTTGTTTTCTCACCAGCAAACAATGTTATAGAGATGTTCATATTTGAATGGATGTTTTTACACTCTGCCCACCTGCACATTTGGTCTCTTGATCGATTTTGTTCAGTTCATTTTCTAAAAGGATGCCAACATGTTTGAGGCTGAGAGACCATGAGATTTGTTTACCTGAATTAGAAATTTTCCCCAAATGACAAAAGTTCTATTGAGTTACTAATTGAACTGCTGGAGGAGGTCACAATACATAGTGCAAGTAATCTGTAACATTTTGTCTTGTAATGTTGTGCCTGTGTTTTCTTTTCTCTCCTTTTGAAATGACTCAAGAAAAGGAGCCTCCTTGTGTTTTCTGCTCATTATCTTTTCTCAAGAGCTGCAGATTTGTTGCCCCCTACTGGTGGAATCTGAGTATTAACTTTGACTTTAAACAATATGGACATACTGATGAGTTAGTGTAATGAATGATGTACAGTAGGTTTTGGATAATTTAGAATGACTAACATGCACATATTAACATTTTCCTTTGTTTATATAAAAGGCCAAACTGTGGCATGACACACTCAAAATGATATCAAGGATGGGATCATTTTGTTTTTTGTTTTTTTCTTTTTGATGTTGAGTTTGCATTACATAGATGCCAAATACACAGCTTTTTGGGCATTATAAAATTTTGGATGAGAACATTTGTGTTTTTTTTTCTTGATTTCCTTCCTTTCTCGGTTGGTTTTAATTTAATATGCTGTTCATATTGTGACATTTTGGCAGTATTTTTTTTTTAGCAGTAGGCTATAAATAGTAGTTAGGTGGTAGTAGTAGATATTTATACTTAAGTACTGCGGTACATTATAAAACAGTATGCAATGACATTGAGTGTAAATTGTCATATTTATTAATATTATTAAATGGATGCCGCCTTATTGGGACAATGAAGCCCTCCCTGCACCAATCGCTAACCATATCAATAACACTGAATTATTATTCCCTTATTTTTATTGAAAATAAATGCCTTTATGATCTGATATGTGATGGGAAAAAGAGACGAACGAATTTGGCAAAAGGCGGATTTGAACTTGGAATTCAAACTCGAATTTTGTTTGCATAATTTAAATATTTGTATTTACATATTTGATGTTATTTATATATTAAGCGTTAGCATTAGTTCTGGCAGGTCACGTGAGTCAAGCTTGCATCAGCTGATTCTCAGCTGATCACATCTACCTATAGGAATACGACACCGATCGCGGCATTCTTATATAAGCTCTATTCAGTATTATTCAGCAGCTTTTCAGCTTGCTCCGGAGCAAATTACCCTCCTCCATCCCCAGCTCCTCCTTTCGCCACAGTCAGGACTTGGCTTTCTGATATTCCTTGCTAATCAGACTCCTTTATCTTGAATAAAGAGTAACACTTAAATATCATTAAGTACATTAATGATATCTGCCTTATTCTGTTCTGTTAACCCTAGGGGGGTTATTATTGCTGCTCTCCCTGCTCATTCATGACAGGCTGCATGGATGCGCAGGGAGGTTTTTGCCCAGAACAGAACCATACCGCCAAACCAAACTTTATGCTAAGTATCTATCATTTTGACGATAGTGGACCTGACAGAAATGATATTACAGCAATATTATTATTTAATATCTTTGAAACAATCTAGTACATAATAGAATCAAGTCCGATCAAGTCAAATGACGTCACCTTTATCGCTATAGCGCTTTATACAGTACAGATTCATTGCATACTGCAATATAGTAGGAGTTGTATGGTAGTATGCCATTCTAAACACAGCTGCTGTACTGATTTCAGTGTGTATTTAGCAGATTGCAAATATAGTAGGTCATCCAGGTATTCCATGCATATAGAAAGTTTGCATACTATTATACATACTGGATACTGCAGAAATAGTAAGAGTATTGCATTTCGAACAAAGCATCTGTGAACAGCAAAAGGAGGAGTAAGGGGGCCGGCCCACTATTAAACTGGCCAATAAGAGGACGCTTTCTGCCTGTCACTCATTTTGCGTTCTGGGTTGATTGACATGCCTTTGGGGGAAAACCCCGACTTTATAGAATTCATTTGAAGAGAGGGCATAAAATGGCAGGAAAAATGCTTTAACTAAAATAAAGTTAATATAAAAGCATAAATTGCGACGCCCACATCACGTGATGCATGCAGAGCCCATAGGGGAGACCACGTGACAGCTACAGAAGCCCGATTAAAAACCGCGAACCGGTTCTTTCGAATTATTTTATTGAAAGAACCGGTTCAAACAACTGATTCAGTGATTATTTTATCTCAGCACGCAATTACGTCCTCACATGGTCCCCGACATCCTTGAGTGGCATGTTACATGCTCTAAACTTTGAAATAAAGTAATGTACATGAACACATTTGCTGTTTATTATGTTTTTTTCTATTAAGTTTCTTAAAATAATGGTATTTCATGTGTCCCTTTTAGCTCCTGCAGCCAAGCTTCAGCTCAAAAAGTCATAAGAGCCTAAATATAATTTGTATTTACATTAAGTAAAATTAATTTACATCGATATTTATTAAAACCGTTTTTTATATGGGTTGGGAAAAAAATTAGTTACATCATCGGCGTATTTCCAGTAGATTTTTTATTATATTGTAGTAGATATTTTATTATACATATTTGGCTTTCCGTTTATAGTTATGAGTCATATTTGAGGCGGCTCTCAGTTCAGTGAACTGCAGTGACTCGAGAACCGCGCAGACTGATTCAGTCCAAATCGTGAACAAACAATTCAGGTCGTTTCGTGCATAGACATATAAATACCTAGACGCCTCATTGGCCGCTTTGAGCTGTTGCTGCGATACGTCAACGCGTCCGCCATGTTTGTGAGGGCAAGACTGCCTTAAAAACAAATGGAGGTAAACGGAGGAGCTGCGGTTTTTTCTGGATAAAAACACGATAACGGTTACATTTATCAACCGATTTCAGAGGTTTGTGATCTACATGGAGTTAAAAATAACTCTGCCTCCAGTTATTTAGTTAGGCTTGGAAAATTATGAATTTTCGTACGAAATTGTGAAAGCTCACACTTGTCTCACTTGTTGATTTGATTGATTTTTTCGGTTTACAATTCTAATGTTAATGTAGTATAACATATAGATGTATATGTATATGTAGACATATACATGTTTTGTAATTTGAATGTACATTAAATGAAATTAAGTTGTTTCATTGCTTTCTCTGTCATCAACCCCAACATTTGAGCTTTTCTTGTGCTTCAGGTCAGAACACAGCTCATTCCCTTTGAAATACTGGAAGAAAATCTAAATAATACATCTTTAAGCACTAATAATTTACCATCATTGAGAACATTGAATAAAACCAGCGAATACAAATCAAAAAGTGACACTCTTGGTAGTCTGCTTTTTATTTTGATAGCACTCTACACAGATAAACTCCACAACAAACAATAACAAATGCAACTGATAATCCTTTATGGATCCAGTAAAACTTAGTTACAGTGGTAAAATATTATGCACTGATACAATGCACAGTAAAAGTGATATGTTATATTAAAAATTATATGTAGTACAAGTTGTAGTAAAGTGAATAATATACCTGTCCCGATATGAGAGTTGCCTTCACCAATATGGCGGCGACGTTGACGTGCGGTCGAGCGGCCAATGAGGAGTCTAGGTATTTATTATGTCTATGGTTTCGTGAACCTGTTTTGGTCAACCGATACATTGTAAAGATCCGACTCAAAAGAACGATTCGCTGAGGAATCGGACATCGCTGGAGCGGAAAAGACTAGAGCGGTCAACGTCCATTTCTCTCCCAGATCCCCTTTCTGTCGGCTGTCATGTGGATGTGAACACAGAAAGTGACTGGCAGCAAAGGTGAGTTGGATGCGAGCGCAAAGAGGACTTCAGTACAGTGCATGTGTGATCGGCGATGCTTTCTTATTGTGTGCTTCAGTCACTGCTGGTGGTTAGGAAGGGAAGTTGTGTGTGCTGAAAAACACATCTGTGGCCTGGCGTTCATTGTGTTCCGATTTGCAAGTTAATAAGTCGCACCTTGTTTAGACAGCGGCTGTTCACTAACAACCCTTTTTTTCCATGCAGTTTTATTTTGGTCACAGGCGGATGATGTGTTTTGCGTCTGGTGTGGCGCTCATTTACTGTCTATTTAAATAACAAACACACAGCAGCTACATTCATCTTTATAACTAATCACACGCTGTTGTATGTTGTAGGAATGTGGAAAGCATATGAAATGTATTGTGGCTCCACTATATGATCTGACTTGAGAAACAGGGCATATCTAAAATATTATGGAAATATCATTGGTACAGTTAAATATATATATTCTTGTTTATATAATGATTTTGAAGATTGACCGTGTATTGTGAATGCGTACAGCACCATAGAGCCCAAGACTAGCAGAACACAAAGTATTTCAATTTCAGTTATGCTATTTTTAACATACTATTTATCTTTGTTCATTCTCAGCATTTATTAATTCTAACTGTTAGTTGTAATTTCTAATTACTTAACATATTAATTTTCTATTTAACCAGAGATGTGTGATGAAAACCAGTCCTAAAGCAGGGCAAGGCCAATCAGGTATGTTTCAGATTTATAAAGTAATTTCTACCATTTTATATCACGTATAGATCTTCTGTAACAGATAGTAATACCATGACATATTCATGGTATGTACAAGATTCTAAAAAAAAGAATACAATGGAATTATCATGATATACAGATCCAAAAAGCATAAAAACATCACACTACTCTATCTGGTCCCTTTTTGGTACTTATTGTGAAATGTAAGAGTACTTATTTTTACATCCTAATTTTGACATTCTTATATTTCAATGCAGACATAAACTATTTTTTTGTGAATGTGTGAGACTTGCAATTCATTAACCGCTCTAGTTAACTAACAAAGTGCAGTAAGCTGTAAAACTATATGCACTACAATGCAGAATGTTTATCATTAGGATAATACATTAATATAATATGATAACAAATACCATTTTGCAATATCAAGCAGCATAACACCGTTTTTGTACAACTAAAATAACTAGAAGTGACTGACACTGGAAGCCTCACACATTCAAGTCACAAAAGGCTTCACCGCACTTATGTTAAAGAAAAAAGTGAATATTATATGATAGTATGTTTGCAAGCACAGTTACTATGAGCAGTGAGCTCAATGTGCCGATGGGCTCCCCCACGCCCGGGGGCTCAGACCGGCTGCAGGATGGTGGCGGGATGGACTACAGGGACTGGGTTCGCCGCAGCTATCTGGAGTTGGTCACCTCTAACCACCACTCGGTCCAGGCTCTCTCATGGAGGAAACTCTACCTCAGCAGGGCCAAGCTCAAAGCCTCCAGCCGAACCTCAGCCCTGCTGTCTGGCTTTGCCATGGTGAGTATATTACATTCTGTGATAAGTGTGAGCTGTCAAATGTATGTGACTCTTGGCCACACACTTTTGTGGATTATATTTCAGTGAATGTATCAGGAAACAGTTGCTATAGGTCAAACAAAGGGTGTGGCTTGTTGAAATTCTTCAGAAGCATCAGATGGCTTGGAGATAAGATTGTCTTGAATAATTGTTCGTTGCAACTTTGTATTGCTAACCACTTTTGGCCGAGATAACAGTGACCACCCACTTGACCGGAAGTAT